TGTGTGTATGTGTGCGTGTGTATCTGTATATGTCTGTGTGTGTATGTGTGCGTGTGTATCTGTATATGTCTGTATGTGTATGTGTGCATGTGTATCTGTATATGTATGTGTGTGCGTGAGTATCTGTGTATGTGTGTGCCTGTATCTGTATATGTCTGTGTGTGTGTGTATGTGTGCGCATATCTGTATATGTCTGTGTGTGTGTGTGCAAGTATCTGTATATGTCTGTCTGTGTATGTGTGTGCATGTATCTGTATGTCTGTGTATGTGTGTATGTGTGTGTACGCATGTATATCTGTATATGTCTGTGTGTGTGTGTATCTGTATATGTCTGTGTGTGTGCGTGAATCTGTATATGTCTGTGTATGTGTGTGCTTGAATCGGTATATGTCTGTGTTTGTGTGTGCATTAATCTGTATATGTCTGTTTATGTGTGTGTGTGTATCTGTATATGTCTGTGTGTCTATGTGTGTGTGCGTGTATCTGTATATGTGTGTCTGCCTGTATCTGTATATGTTTGTGTGTGTATGTGTGCGCGTGTATCTGTATATGTCTGTGTGTGTATGTGTGCATGTGTATCTGTATATGTCTGTGTTTGTGCGTGAATCTGTATATGTCTGTGTACGTGTGTGCATTAATCTGTATATGTCTGTGTATGTGTGTGCGTGAATCTGTATATGTCAGTGTATGTGTGTGCATGAATCTGTATATGTCTGTGTATGTGTGTGCATGTATCTGTATATGTCTGTATGTGTATATGTCTGTGTGTGTATGTATGCTTGTATCTGTAAATGTCTGTGTATGTGTGTGCGTGTATCTGTATATGCCTGTGTGTGTATGTGTGCACGTGTGTCTGTATATTTCTGTGTGCATGTGTATCTGTATATGTCTGTGTGCGTGTGTATCTGTATATGTCTGTCTGTGTATGTGTGTGCGTGTATCTGTATATGTTTCTCTGTGTATGTATGTGTGCGTGTATCTGTATATGTTTGTGTGCGTGTGTATCAGTATAGGCCCATGTGTGCATGTGTGTGCGTGTATCTGTATGTCTGTGTGTGTATGTGTGTGTGCGTGTGTATCTATATATGTCTATGTGTGCGTGTATCTGTATATGTCTGTGTGTGTATGTGTGCATGTATCTGTATATGTCTATGTGTTCGTGTACCTGTATATGTCTGTGTCTGTGCGTGCATGTATCTGTATTTGTCTGTTTGTGTATGTGTGCGTGAATCTGTATATGTCTGTGTATGTGTGTGCATGAACCTGTATATGTCTATGTGTGTGCACGTATCTGTATATGTCTGTGTATGTGTGCGTGTGTATCTGTATATGTCTGTGTGTATATGTGTGCGTGTATCTGTATATGTCTGTGTGTCTATGTGTCCGTGTGTATTTGTATATGTCTGTGTGTGTATGTGTGTGCGTGTATCTGTATATGTCTGTGTGTCTATGTGTGCGCGTGTATCTGTCTGTTGTCCCAGACTCCATAATGTGTTCCCTAACCCAGCGGAACCTCTCCCCTGTCCTGCTTCAAACATTCTTTCTCGACTTCCCATCCTAGTCATCTCCCCTTATACCCTGTTCCCCCCACTGCATGCAAGAAGCATTGAAATTTTATAGCACAAAGCACGTTCATTTGTCCCATCATGTCTGTGCCACTGAAAAGGGTCTAAGTCTGCTTTCTATGTCTCTGTAAGCTACTGTACTTAAAGGGTGCATCCAAGAATTTTCTAAATGTGATATGTAATTCTGCCTCGACCTTCAGGTAGTGACTTCCAAATCTCCACTGCCCTCTGGATAAAAAAAAGAGTCTCCCGTCTACCCTCTAACACTTATGCCAGTTACATTAAATCTATGTCCCTACCAGCTCACTGATCTGTCTGCTAAGGGACCTAAGGGATCCTAACCATCCACTTTTTTTTAAGAGTGATCCACCCTACCTATGGCATCTGCTTTTTTCTCCTTGATGCACACTAGGAAGAGTGTCACTCTTTAAGGTCTTATACTGAAAGCAGTAATTGCTTTGTGTACTGTACTGGGATTGCTGGCTAGGGACAGCTCCCAGGACGGTCAGTAGTAGGCTCCCAGTTGATCACAGATGTAGAAACAGCGGATTGGTCCAAGAAAATATTAGCATCTTGGATCGTTGCAACTAATGAATGCCACAATGATCAGGGAGTCATGGCGATGAATCCTTGAAAGCTTTTCTTTGCCCCCTGCTTTGTAAACACACCTCATGAAAACCTAAAACTGCATGTTTTGCAAACCTAGAAATCCAAAGTTGGCAGCAGGGATTCAAAAAGAGAAGAACAGTCAGGAAATTACTGAATGGCAGAACAGGATCGAGGGGTTGAATGGTCTACAAATATAAGAAAGGGCAACAAATGCTAGTTTCATGTTTTTTCAGATCACATATTGGCAGCAGTGAGAATGGACGTCTGATAAAATGACAAAACAAAACACAGGGAACTCCCTGTTTTATCCAGCCCGATTAGTTATAGGATCATAGTCCATTTCTCTCTGTTCCACTAGCTGTGACAAACTTTTTACACTCTGTGGCTCCTGTACTCTGGGATCTTTCACTAAGCTCTCTCAACCCTCCAAAACCTCTTCAAAACTTGTGTTCTTTACCAGTTCCTTCATGCGCCCTCCCTACGCTGTCTCCCTACTTCCTGATTGGCATCCCATTTCCCACACTGTCTCCCTACTTCCTGATTGGCATTCCATTTCCCACACTTTCTCCTTACTTCCTGATTGGCGTCCCATTTCTTGCAGTAAAATGCCTTAGGATGTTTAACCAAATGGTAGTCACTGCATTGATTCTCCAAAATCCTTTACGGAATGTGCTGTCCTTACCTGGTCTGGTTCTACACGGGACTCTAGACCCACAGCGGTGTGATTGACTCTTTACTGCCCCCTGGTCTTAGCAAGTCACTGAATTCAAGGGCAATTAGGGAAGGGCAGCAAATGCTGGTCTTCTTAGTGTCATGTGACATCTACATTGTGTAACTCAGGAAACAAATCCGAATGGAGTTGTTGATGTTAAATGGAGTCATGGCGTCAAGGCTGTGAACCTGAACTTCTACTGTGACCGGAACTCAATCTGCTGGCAAACCGCAGGGGACAGCAATAAACTAAAACAAATTAAGATACATTAAAAATAGCTGAAAATCAAGGATCTTCTGAAACAGAGGTGTACCCTGGTGTAGAGACATGCCATTCCAAAATGTCACTTGTAGACCCTGGACAGCCCCTCTTTTTTATTTAAATGTCAATTTAGGTTAAAAACTGTGGAAAAACTTTTCTTTTTCAAAACTGTGGCAAACAAGAAAACAACATGCAGACCAGAACAAACTCAGTTTAAACAAAAACACATTGAAAATGACATCCGGGGGAAAGAGAGATGTAAATGGGAATGAGAAAGGGAGAAGTGGGGTTTGGGGGGGGGGGTGGGGGTGGGGGAAGATGTCCTGGTTGTACTTACTACCATAAGCAGAGCTGGCAGCCACACCTGGAAAGGAAGCAGAGGATGGTGTTAGAGGAGCACAGACAGCGACAGAGACTTCACGCAGACTTTGTAACTTCCTCCTCCAGTTTCTGATGGCCACCCGCTCACCCAGTGTGAATTGGGCATTGCGTGTTCTGACAGACAGAGGAAAATACAGCCAGCACTCACTGGCTCTACAGTGTTGCATTTCACATCTCAGAGTCCAGTCTTATATCTGTTATTAATAGACTTGGACTTCTGTAAAAACTGTTGATGCCCTTTGATATGACAAAGCGACAATGAAAATGATTCTCTTTGTGTTTGCTTTCCAGGGCAGAGAAGACCATTTCTGAAGCACACCTCACACCCAGTCCCTGCCTGTTTTACAGACAATGTTGTCCTGGCTGGTGTGACAGGCAGCTCCTAAAACAGGCACTTACATGAGTAAATGAGGGCCCTGATTTCTCTCTTCGCTCCCTTACTCTGAATTGTGTGCCATTCTAAACTCAAGAATTCTCCACATAAATCTCTGCTTTCCTCCGTTCAGCCACTCCTTAAAATCTCTCTCTTGGACTAAACTTGGAATGATTTGCCCCACATCTCAGTTATTTTGTGATGAAGCACTTTGGGATGTTTGGTTACGTTAAAGGTGCTTGATAAATATACGTTGCTGTGTACTGTTTCAGCAACAACTGTTGCCAACATCAAGAAGCAATTTTAAATTTTAGCAAATTTTTAAAGGATCATCCCTGCAGAGGGAGGAATGGGAGGGACAAGGTAGGAGTGGAGGGGGGTAGTGAAGCAGGAGTGGAAGGGATGAGGCAGAAGTGCTGTCCACACTTCTTTGCAAATACAGCCATGACGTGCGAGCCAAGGTCCAACATTGGGTTGGAGGTGCTCTTCCTGGTTGAGGAGCCAATGTCAGTGTAATGCTGGATATACACCAGAGAAGGACAAAATCCCAATTCAATTCAATAAAGTGTCCCAGAGCTTGGGCATTCCACCTGCTGCAGTCTGTTCTACATTTAATGCAAATAGCCAGTGTATAAGTTGTTTTGCGTTCTATATGAGATATGATGTCTCACTCTCACAAAAGTTAGGTGATTTAGCCAACTGATTTTTAATCTGATTTTTAACAATCAGAGGGTTAACAATCCTGAGCCATCCTATTAGCTTTTAATTAAAAATTGCCCCAGAATGTTTGCTCCTCCAGTAGATCTACAAACATGTCCATTTGGTACCAGAGAATCTTTGTGATTGGACTGTACATGGGGATATCAGTGCCAGCTGTAACTACGGAATGGTCACCAATCCAGAGTTCTCCCCAGTTGAGAATTGGGAAAGGAGAGAAAACACAGTCTAAAAACTTCAGATATGAGAGATTTTCTAGTGATGGTTTGTGCTCAATGCTGCAAAAACACCAACCCCATTCAATGTGTTCCATTCAACCTAGTGGCCACTTAACCAGTCAACCATGAGCACTTTTGAGAAACCACCTGGTTTAAAGGCTCCTAAATTTCCAAAGGGAGTATGTGTGCTCTAAAGACTGGCCTCCCAGGAATGAAATGACACATGGAAAGCATGTGTTGGAGTTCTACTGCACTCAGATCAAACTAAAATTGATGTGATGCAGCTTCTTCACAGATTTTTATTTGTTTGTCAATGAAAAATGGGCAAGGCATGGATATCCCAACCTCCATCCCCTAATGAAATTGAGCTGAACATTGAGATAATTTTTAACTTGCAGTGACAAAGTTATTGAACAGTCCCCCAGTATGTATCCTCCTCTGACCTGCCTTTCCATTGGATCATTGGGTTGTTTTCTGCATTAGATCCCACATAGTGCTCAGAAATTGAGTATAAATTTGATGTTTTCACTTATACATTTGTATTATATTATACATAATATATAATATTTATATTACACTTGTAATTGTCGGCATCCACTTTAACAGTAAACAATCTATCGATTGGCGTCTTTATACCTCAATTTGACTAAATGATAAGATTTATATCTAGTTTTCAATTGGTCTACCATAAATGGAGAGGTCCTTTTGTTTTCATATCAAACACTCCTCATTGCTAGGCAAGACATTTGCCAAACTGCACTAATTATTTTAGGCATGCTGTAAGCTCTTGCCCAAATCCATTATTTTACCAAAGAAGGTGAATGATGACAAACTCTTTGTTACTAACGGTTGTCCTTCTTGGGCTGTCCCAAAACTTGGGCTTCAAGGTAATATTTTTGATCAGATCTGAAAGGATGTTTGGGACTTGTGGAACTTTTGAAAACTCGACAAACTGTAGTGGTTGTAACGATGTCAGCAAGGTGGATCTCACAGAATATGAGTTCCCTGACTGGGGCTGTTAATCTGGTCCAATCAAGGAGCCCTGGCTGACAGAGTGTCAGAGGTTCAGTTCACTCTGAGAGCTGACACTGAGGGAGATGGATCAGTGTCAAGGGCTTTCATGAAGGGAATGGCTAGAGTAAATAGAGAAGGTCTTTTCCATGGGGTGAGGGAGTCCAAAACTAGAGGGCATAGGTTTAAGGTGAGAGGGGAAAGATTTAAAAGGGACCTTAGGGGCAACTTCTTCACACAGAGGGTGGTGTACGTATGGAACAAGCTGCCAGAGGAAGTGGTGGAGGGTGGTAAAATTACAACATTTAAAAGGCATCCAGATGGGTATATGAATAGGAAGGGTTTAGAGGGATATGGGATAAATACTGGCAAATGGGACTAGATTTACCTAAGATGACTGGTCGGCATGGATGAGTTAGACCAAAGGGTCTGTTTCTGTGCTATACATCTCTATGACTCGATGTGTGAATAAAGGATGACTTAGTGACAGGATACTGGCCTCTGTCGAGTTATTTCATAAATTCTCAAGCCTTCAGAGCAATGGACTGTTACCTAACCACAGTGACAGAACTACAGAACAGAATCATTCTCAATACTTTCCATTGATTCTATTTTGGTCAATACAGTTTAAAGGTGACATGCCCCAGAAAATAGGAAGCGTATACATACAGCTGTTGGCTGTTCCCATCGGGTATGGACTGTAGCTGCCTGGTCGCCATGACTTGGCTTTATAATTCTTCCTGCACTTTCCACAGTCTTGACCTGTTGTGTTGTGCTCACACTCGCACATCAGATTCCCATCTTTGAAATGACAGCTGTTTGCATGCATGTTGCACTTACACCTGGAACAAGAAAGAGAGAGATTGTAACAGGCTAAGTGAGGAAATGGAACGGCAATTACTTGCTGATTTTAGTTGGAATCGGGAGCTCTGCCTGTGTAGAATCCATCACTGATTGGAATAGTTGGGATTGGTGTGTGCTGCACACCTTGGGAAATCTAGCACTATGATCTGCAACTTCAATTATAATCACAGCATCTGCCAACCGCCATGATTCAGAGCAACCAGCCAGAATTCCCCAGAATTAAAATACCAGCTGTATTGTTAGATTCTGGTATTCATCAACTTCTAATTGACGCAGTTATTTGAAATCTAAATAATTAAGTAGTAATTTGGACAGACTTCTTTCTCTCCCAATCCCTTTCTAGTGAGCTTCCTCAATCACACACAATCAATCCCTCAGGTAAACAAGGCCAGTTTGTTCCTTATATGGTCCATTAAATAGTCAGCCCAGAAGTTCAATGCAAAACAGGACACAAAGTCAGATTCTTTTAGAATAAAAGTCCATTTCTCCTAAACACTGTTTCCTAATGTACAGATAACAACCATTCATTTTTTTTAAATTAGAGAAAAGGAAGAGGTAGCATTTGTATAATGTACAAATCACAGGCTCAGGAGAATACAAAGTGTTTCACAGCCAATGAAGTGTCTTTGAAAGGACCACTCCTGTCAAACATTTTAAACTTGAGCAAATCCAACGTCCAGGAATCAAGCCAAAATCCCAACTCCTGCCCCTCCTCTACCTCATCACACACTCCACTTTCACTGTTAGACTTTAAAAAAGGTAGTGACCCTAACTTTGTTCAAGCCATGTATATCTCCAAGGTGTTTTGCTGGTTTTGCTCTGTGAGGTAACAGGATTGTACTGAAGATATAAAATAACAGAGTTATTTTATATTCCTCACTGGCAGAGGAAGTTGGCAACAATTACATCATCAATATGCACCATGGTGCCACTGACACATAAGGAATGCTCACCACCCTGTCTCCACATGACACCCTCTGTGCCTACACTGTCATTTATTTGCAGGAATTTCCTGTAAAGCCACAGCAGGGTTTTACAATGAGGCCATCATTTGAATGGGCAGTGGGCTGTTATTGGTGGGGAATTGGTAAGAGCCATGTGCTTCATTTCTCAATAGGCACTCACAGAAGGTTAGGCTCCACCTGGAGCACACTCTCTCATAATCACCTGCAAGGGGGGGGTTTCAGATTGACAGCAGGAGACCTCTTTCTTTTGGAGCATAAATGGCTAACTTGAGGTTGAACAAGGACTGAGTCTGTGGACAACTCAACAATCACACTACATAGTAGGCCAGCAGAGCAGGCACAGATTTGATCTAAAATCCTCAATGGGAAATGTCAGAGAATTGGGGCTTGATTATTAGGCCTCAATGGGCCCAGGTTTGGAGATGGGTGAAAGGTAAAACCACCATGACCCCATCCAGAACCCTTTAGCTTGTTAAGGGTAACTTAAGGTCAATCAAGGAAGAGCAGCTGGGATTTTCCAATTGACCTCCAAATTCCTGCAGACAGAGTGGGGTGGTAAAGGTGCCCTGAGGATGGGGGCAGTGGGGGTTGGTGCATGCTCCAAATAGGCCTGACAGCCCTTCCTGCCTGACACATGACCGAAGGAAAAAAACACAGTGAAACTGGCGATTTGTACATTTCAAAATGGAGCCCCAGTATAACGTTCATTTCCATGTGTGACTGCCTTTTTGGATGATGCCACTGTATCGTCCAGGAGAGGGGCCCATGCCCTGGGGGTTGGGGGGTATAGATGCCAAGCTGAGGTGGCACTGCACACCCCCTCTCCCCCAGGGGGAGGAGGGGAGGGAAGAGCGGGTATGGAGAGAAAGTTGGGGAGGGAGAGAGAGGAGGAGAGAGAGAGAGAGGGGGGAAGTGATAGAGACAGGGAGGGGAGAGAGAGGGACAGGAAAAGAGGAGGAGGAGAGGAAGGGGTATGTTGCAAGAGGGCAGAGGGGAAAAAAAGAGACAGAAGAAACAGAAACTGTTGCCATTGGCTGCAGGATCGATTGTCCCATATTTAACTTAATTTAAATAGATTGTCAAAAAGAACCAGAGGCTGACACAAGAAAATGATTTTACACAAACAGTGGTGAGGATTTGGAAAGCACTCCGTTCCTGATATTGAAGTTGATACTGATTCACATCAGTATTCCAAAGGAAATTGAATAAATACATGAAGGAAATGAACAGGAAAAGAACTGACACACATTAGATGGGCCGATTGGTCCCTTCAATGCTGCACTATTTAATGGAACCCAGAATGCATTGCAAAGGAGTTTGACAGAAGGGGTGTGGGGTGGATTGGCCATGTGTGGAATGGGGTGGGATGGGTTGGGAAGTGTGAAGTGGGGGGAGGTGGTGATGTGATAGGTAGGGGAAAGTTGGCAGAAAGCCCCAGGGCACTGGCCCTGGGCAGTGGGGTAGGCAGCACTGTCAAAGATTCCCCACTTCGCTCCCTCCTGTGTCCTCACAGCGATGACCTGCCAACAAAAGTTATTTTTTTAATTGCAACTTTTGAAAAATTGGAGAGACATAAGCCTCCATGTTGAAGCCACTCCCCCTCCCATCCCCCAACCCATGACCCTCACTAACCTGACAAACCTGCTGCTACTGAAAGGCTCTGGATTTACTCTCCCTCTTTGAGAGCTCCCACTTATCCTCCTTCATTTGGCAGTGAGTTGGCTCTCTGGCCACTAACGGAGGGGAAACACGTCTGGGGAGTGACTGAGTGAGTGTGTTTGTGTGTATTTGTGTGTATTTGTGTGTGTGTGTGTGTGTTTATGTGTGTGTGTGTGAGTGAGTGAGTGGGTGTGTGCGTGTGTGCATGTGTGTGAGTGTGTGTATATGTGTGTGTGAGAATGTGTGTGAGAGTGTATGTGTGTGTGTGAGAATGTGTGTGTTTGTGAGAGTGTGTGTGTGTCTGTGTGTATGTGAGTGTGTGTGAGAGTGTGTGTGAGTGAGAGAGAGAGAGCAAGAGAGTGTATGTTTGTGTGAGTGTGTGTGTGTGTTTGTGTGAGAGTGTGTGTGAGAGTGTGTGTGAGAGTGAGCTGCACACAATTCCACATTTAGAACCCAGCCCTACATTTACAGGATAGGGAGAAGCTGCTGTGTGCTTGGGCGCATTCACTGAAAGTCCCACTCAGTCACTTTCCTTGCCTTATACCCACATCCTAATGGCTCTTTATATAAACACAATTTCTTCTTCAGCCCTCCTTCCTTTGGTGATGATCTTAAATTTCTAGGTCCTGGGCTATCAATATTCAGCTGAAACAAGTTTCCCCTGTTTACCATATTAAAATGCATCTTAGGTTTTGAACAAGTCTATTAAATGTAGACACCATGGTAAATATCAGGTTGATCATTCCTGTTTCCAGCTGCTTTCTGGATACAACTGGGATACTGAGCTGTGTACTCCAGGCAGCTCTGCCCCAGCTCTCTATCTGAACTCCAGTTGGTGTTAAACTAAGGGAGAGCAACCTGCATTGTAACTGGAATGCTACATTGGATCTCCAAATCCCTGCTTTGATCAGTAATCTCATGCTGCAGAGTGTAGAAATAGTTCAAAACAAGATGAGTGCCTTTCATAGCTAAATAATTTGTCCCATCCCCCTCTCCAGTCAGACCCATGTAAAATGACCAGTTGGTTGGGCTTCTGAAAGGTAGTCTGCACACCTTGGGAAGTCTAACCCAACACAAGTCAAGAAGCTCTGGCCACGAAGAAAAATGAAAACATAAAAAATGACAGCTCTAATCCCAACATATTCTGATGCCAAGAAATACTCGCAAAGTTTTCAAAGTTGTGTTGTGCACATCTGGTGCACTAATACTCCCAATTATACAAAACTGCCTCACAGACACCAAATTAGTTTGTGCAAAGTGTAAACAGATTGTTCTTTTCAAGTTCTTTTTATGGAAACATACCTCACAAGATATTCAAATTCTGCACCTGAGCCACACTTGCTGCCTATCGACACCAGCCAAGCATTTCTCCATCTGTACAATTACAGTGGCACCATTTGGCATCTCCAGGGAGGGTTGGATCTTATAAATCGAGATGCCATCTGTTGTCTTCATGATCAATCTCTGCAGCCAGTGTGTTGCTGTGGTGACTATTCACTTTTGACAAGTTTGTACCCGGAGACTGATCACAGGTTTTGTGCCCAGTGTTATTGTACCGAGTTGGTGAGGTTGGTTGATGTCGGTGTGCTACCTGAACTCAGAGAGTAAGCAAAGCCATTCTTCATGCCATCCTCCGCCTTCATGAAAACACCTCCTGTGCCTCCCACAGTCTCCAGCAAAGGTGGAAGTGGGGATGGGCTCCTACAAGTGCAGGGTAAACTTCACAACATGTCATCAGGATGCCTTAGAACAGACTGCTGACATCTGCCTGCTCTTTCTCCTTCTTTGCTTGTGGAAGTACAGAGCACCTTCCCAAGTTGTCTTCAGCTCAATCTATTATCTATCCCAGCCTTTGAAATGCTTGACCTACCAGTTATCATCATAAGATGAAGCAGTGAATGAGCTTGAATCCACCCCCAGCAATTAACTTGGAACTATGAGATACTTGTAGACAGGGCTACTTCATACTCACAGGCTGTATACCATCCACTTGAGCCACTGCAACATGCAGACTGTACCTTGGGCTCACACCTTAGACCAAATACTGCACTAACTTGACTGCCTGATTATTTACTTAAGTCTTACAGTAGGGTCAGGTCAACAACATCTGACCCTGAGACAAGGATGTAATTGCGCAGACACCCAATAATGACGAGTTGTGCCTCCAGTCTTCACTATTTGTCCATTTAGCTTCTGTCACTGGTGGCTCATGTTAAAACAGATCTATTTTGGCCTTTGTAACTCACCTAAAGTTTAGATTCCAGTTAAATCTCACCTGAATCCAAATGCCAGAACAATACAGATTTAAATTGGGATATGTCAAATAATGCTTAAAATAGCTTTGAGATTATTTC